CTGCATCATGGAGACCTGCCGAGTTTAAAGCTGGGTTCCAGCAAGCGCAAGTTTGGCACTGGCCATCAGGATCCTTTTATTCCTTTCAGTGGTTCCTTAGAGCACAGGCAGCAGAAGGCACAGGGAGGGTGGGCGGTGGGGAAGGGGGCAGACAGAGCTTTTGGGGAACACGCTGGCCGTGGCCCCACGAGATCCGAACCCCGCTCAGCCCATCACTCCCTCGCAACGCTGGGCAAGCCACTGGAGCTCCCTGCTTCCTCCCTGCACAAGTCTCTTTAGTTTACCTCCTCTGCACAGCGTATCTGGACTACAAAGCCCGAAGATGAAAGAATCTGTGGATATTTGTGCAGTGTCTAAGCATAAAAAGGTCTCCACCTTAGCTGGGGCCTCCGGATGATGCAGTGCTCATAAATAATGTAAAGCAAGTACTTCCATGAGAGATGACACAAACTGCCACATTTCCTGTGATTTCATGCCTCAAGGTTGCATTATCTCATGTCTAATAACATGCACGTATCCCTACAGTTCCCCTCCTATATAGGTTCCCTACGTCTGCCTATAGAGCTAAGCTCACCAATCTCTTCTGGAGAAGGGATTCAGCACCCCCCTCCTCCCACGTTAGGGGGGAAACAGAGGGACTGGCTTTTCAGAAGGGCTACGAATTCGTGACTCCTTCTTCAGAGAACCTCAGGAGCATCCTCCCAAACACCCTCTACCCCGCACTACTCACAAGGGAGCAGCAGGGGTACGGTCCCACCTCGCCAGTCGTGACCGCATGAAGGGAACCTGGCATATCAAATATTCCTACTGGGTTTTTAAGGCATCACTCCCAGATGGAAAGAGAGGAAGCCCATCCTTATGGAGGATTGTGGGCTGTCTGAAGACTCAGGCAAAAGCTTCATCCCCTTCTCATTTTCAGGGTATGTATTGCCTTCAAACATAACAGATGGAGATTCAAAAAAGCAATGGGAAAGCACTCGCTGTGGAGCGCAAAGAGACAGGAAAAACCAAGAATGAGGACAACTAACAGTTTGAGTAGTTTTGTAGTATCATTAGTCGTAGGATCAGACGTGCAACAAACAGTGACATACAGGCACTTGAGCTACTGCAATCAGTGAGTTATAGCCTGTCAGCCAAGGATGAGCACGACTCTTTAAATAACCACCTTTGAAGCTTCTGTGCAGGCTTGGAGGTGTCCACTGTGCTGCGGCTCACGGGGAAACCCAGCAGGCCACAGAACTGCTTACTGCCCAGAGGCATTGAGGAGGCACATCTCCAGTTTCACCCTGTCCCAAAGCCTCACCAAAACAGAGGCAAAATGCCTTCCAACTTCAACAGATCTTGGATAAATCCAAAGCAAGGAAGGGAACACGGGCGGGAATACAGGGATTTTCCACTCGTTGTTTATAAGCATGTCCTGCGCTCTGCAGCTTGGCTGAGTAACTTACCTGCAAGCAGCAGTAGGGAGCCTGCTTCGCGTCTTCTATGAACAGAAACCAGAGGAATGCGAGCAATGGAAAAAATGTCGAGTGGAGTATCAGCCAGGCTGCAGAGCACCAGCAGCCGCATGAATACCTGGTTTCAGCCCAAATCTCTGCAACCACCATATATAGGAAGCATTTCAACAGAGCAGACACCTCTCTAGAGCACTGTCTGACAGGTCCTTCACATCTCAGTCTTCCAAGAGGTGCTGAGAAAGGCCTTCTCCAACTGATATCAAAGAAGTTAAAAGGAGGCAGAAAAGAGCTGGCGTTGTCGACATTTACAGCAGCTTCCTACAGCACCTGCAAAAATCTTCACCAGATCTCTGAACCTTCACTCGGCGTCTGAACCCTGCCAGCTACGCCGTCCTGCGCTCCCAGGCCCGGAGGACGAACATCGCTCCTGGGTGGCTGGTGTCCTGGTGTCCTTCCCTGGGGCACCCTGCACCGGACACGGGCAGCTCCTGCCCCTGCTCTGACTGCAGGCAGAGCTCCTCAGCCTGTGGCATCCCAGCAGAACCACATCCGGAGGAAATACAGACCATGACACAGTGCAACTACCAAATATTTTGTTTTACAAAACACGTGCTCTCTGTGACCTAGAAGAAAAGCTAAGACTTACTGGAAATCTCACAATCCTTTGGGTTGCTAA